ACAGGACGCTGAATTCATAAGAAATAAAACATACTTTTTCTCACTTCAGGACACTCAGAGCTTTTGTTGCTACAGCCTCACTTGGTCTGGTATGACCAGAACTAATTTAAACTAAACTTGCTGTGTAACTGACATTAGCAAGTCAGTATGCTGACGTTATTTAAATTTAACACATGTGCTACTGTTACACTAGGTTTTAGCATTTACCATTATCACGTAACTGCCTCAGTTGTCCATATTAAGGTTAAAATTGAGAAAGTTCAAGCTTTTGACTTGCAGAGAGTGGAAACATTCTGTAGACAAAAAGTGCCTCAGCTGGACAGTCACTTCACATGTCACCAAAGGATAACTAAAGGTGAGTAGAATCTTCCAGAAAGTCTGATGTGTTGATGCATAGCAGAAGTTTGTCCTTATAGCTGAAGGAAGCAGAGCCCAACCTCACTGAACCCCCCATACTAACACTGCTCCTGCCCTCTGCTCTTCTGGCATGGGATGAATGCCCTCCTGTACAGGAGAGTGAGGGGGCGATTATACCGCAGGAGTTTTGCATGCAGGCCGAGACTCCAGCCCCAACCCACCCTGGTGGTCACAAAGAGGCCCTCTGTTTCCCGAAACGCCGGACCTACACACACTCATGCATTCACCCCCATACAGACACTTACATAAAGTGAGGGTTTGATTCAGGACGTAAAAGGCTTTACTGATACACTGGTCAGGCGTGTCTTTGGCACCAGTGTTGTCGGTGTTATTGCCCACCAAGAGAAAGGATAATACAGGACACTCTGCCTGTGTTTACAAGCTACTCTATGAGGGAGCCTTTTGTCAGCAACTCTCCAGTGTAACGCAACAAACAATTATTAGCAGCACAGCTTCATCTATATTATTAATCCTCTATTCAAATGATTTATTTCTTTTTTCCACAATCTGCTACAGATGTGACTGTGCCTCCAGTACTCACCCCACCCAGGGATGCAGGCTGCCGGACAGATTCAGCCCAGCCAGCTCTCCACCCTCCTGGGATCACAGCGCCTGCAGGGCCAGCTCCTGATACACCGCTCTCCTCGAGCAACTCCTCCTCACCCACCACCCTTCCTTCCCTCTCCCGCAGTGACCCAGGTACTGGAGGAGGAGTAGGAGGAGGGTTACAGAGTCGGAGCAACAGCTCTGAACGCCTGCTGGAGGCCTCTAGTGGTGCATCTGAGGACTACCACGATGCTGAGGGGACTCGCAGGGCCCGAGCAGTGGAGAACCAGTACTCTTTCTACTAATGGGCCCACAGCAGTCTACAGTTGTGTATTTTCTGGATTGGATGAGATGCTGAAAGTTGGAGGAGACATGGGAAGCTCAGCTGATGAGGAAAACGGTCCAAATCACTGGATCACCCGTCGTTTTGTTTGTTTGTTTTTGTTTCAAGGCAATTTCCTGTTTCTCTGATTTGAGAAGGGAGGTGAGATCTTGCCGAGCACTGTGTCCCACTGATGAATCCCTCAGGCCCCGCAGCTTTTGTGTCAAACTCCGTTGTCAAGAATATCAGTGAACAGAAAGAGAAACAGAAGGTAGAAATGGAGATGTGATGGAGCAGGAGACGAGACTTAGATGAGCATAGGCAGAGAAAGCAAGAGGAAGTCATCCAGTGGAGTCATATGGCTTTGATTCACCTCCTCTGACCACTTCCTGTTCACCCTCACCCACAGTTCCCTGGGAGCAGAGCCTGTGTCGCCACCCTGCCGAAGGGTTGAGAGTTTGAAATGACCCTGAAGAAACAGTCCCTCCCCTCAGAGCTCCTACGAGCTCCCGAGAGCATCCCGTTAATGTTTGTAAAGCTGCTTTGAGTCTGTCCCGGATATCCTCACTGTCCCTGCAGGGTTTCCCTACAAAGTCCTGCTCTGGGTTTCTACACTAACATCAGTACATCAATCATGGGTGTGTTAGTGTTAGCTCAGAGATGTTTTTCTTAAACGTGTGCAGCCTAAAGGTTCTTAGTGCCTGACAATTACCTTGGATTTGAACGGACGATTGCCCATAGAGATGAGGAGGATGTCGTTGATCTTTCATTATTCTCACAGTTTTGTTGACAGCTGCAACATACACAGGTGGCCATATGTTATGTTACATATCAGATTAAAAATGCCGAAATGGAAGATGAACAACACAAGTTCAGCCTGTACGAATCTGGCAGGATGGCTCCCATTTTGCTGTCGTACTTGGTTATTTCTATGAGTGTGTGGTGGTGTATTAGAGTCCAAATATTTTTCAATGATCAGTGTGCTACAGTAGTGTTTCTAAAACATGGTTTTCAAGGTCCCTCCGTCTGGTGCTGGTTCTGTATTCAAGCTTATCATATCAATAACCTGTAGATTAGATATGCTGTTAATATAGGAGTTCACTTTGAAGTAATGCCTTTAAGATATTATTATACCAAATCCAGCATTTATCGGAGGGACTGGGGATTTGTTTTTTTGGTAAGATGGTAGTATTGTGTACTGTCTGTGCGGCCTGGTGTGGACAGGAACGCTACAGGCAGTAAGGTAAAGGGGTAGGGTTAGGCTACTAGACGACCATGCTCGAATAGAAAGATGTGACGTTGCTGCTTTACTTTATGCTGACAGAGTACTGAGCTTAATTTTTTTAAGTTAATAATTCAAAACTACAGAATATTTTTCTGTTTTTCTGTAAGAACTGACGTCATGGTCCTAGACATTCATATATATATTACAAAATATCTGTTATAATATCCTCTTAAAGGAAAAGTTATTTGCTTGATATGATACTACTCTCATGTCTGTAAACAAAAATATGGAGCTATACTGCTAGCAAATTAAGAGTTACCTTAGTTTAGCATAAAGACTGGAAACAGGGAAAACAATGTTCCTGTTCTGGACTGTCTCATCCACCGTGGGAGACGGTCCCCAAAGGTCTGCTATAAAAGCTACTCTTTAATGAAGGTGGTGAAGTTAACCAGACATACATTTGCAAAATGTAAAATGTGCAAAGTTTTATGGAGAGTTTCTCGGACTATTTCTTGTCAGGCAACCAGTGGAGACTCCTGGAAGTTAGTGATCCCAACTGGAGTCCATCCAAATATAAATATGGCACATTAACCCCTTAAAATGGTGATTTGTTGTTTTCACCCATCGATATTTGTACAGATTAAATAAATGAGAGATAACATGCTCATTAGAGAGCTTTAGATGTCCTAGTGTGCAGATTTTGTTACTTAGCTGTACAGAGTCAATGTCCCCTGTTCCCAGTCTTTGTGCTAAGCTAAATTAGCTGCTAGCGGTAGCTTCATATTTACCATACAGATGCTAGAGTAGTATCAAGTTTTATCAAGAGTCATCATCTGTCTTTTCAAGCATGGTCATTTAGCTTCGGAGGTGAAATTTCACTTTCAGTTGAAGAGCTGACGGAAAAGTTCATGTGCCAATTTGAATCCTATTTTTGAAACATATTTATTCCTCAGCCGTTGTAAATTACATTTTTCCTATCGAGTCTTATTTATGTACAATTGATTGATTCTTCTTGATGAAACATCCTCAGTGGAACCTGTCTGTTGCAAGAGCCCATCTCACATATCACAGATTGCTCACGTCTCCCTTTTATTTTCTTAACACTTCTTAAAGCAAAATTTTCCGTTGTCTGACTGAGTTTTGAAGAGTCTGTGCAATTTTGTATAAAGTGATGTACTTGACATACTACTTTATATTTCTGTGAATAAAATGTGAACAACCTATTGCACATTTTCAGCAGTTATTTACTCATAAATGTCACAATCAGAGTGAAAATGTAGGAGATTAAAGGCTCAGAAAAGTCAAGAGCTTTAGTGTTACATAAGCCGATAAAAGTATTTAGAGTTATGGGGCACCGGTCTGCAGAGATAAAAATATCTCACCTCTATTCATTCATCTGCCGTGTGGTTTTCTTTTGTTTCAGTTATGTTAAATAAAACACGGTCAGCATATGTTCCATAATTAGGCCCTAATGTGAACACAATTTGAGTTGTAATACATTCAGTATTAGTGCTAGCGAACCACATTCAAAGGTCACAGTTTAAAGTGTTTGACTTGTATTGACCACTTTCAGTCACAGACATTCACAAGGTTTGTTTCTCATATTTAGCATCTTAAGGGGAGATAGACAAAATAAACAACAGCAACAGCATTTCACTGCAGGCTGAGACTTCCATAACATGCATTAATATCGTCCCACATAGACTTTCAGAGGTGGAAGAAGTACTCAGATCCTTTACTTAAATTAAAGTAATAATACAACAATGTAAAAATACACACAAGTATCATGGGCTAAATGTGCTTAAAGCTTAAAAAATAGAAGTACTATAGAATAGCCATTTCATTGTGTTATACAGTGTGTAGATTATATAATTATGCTCTTCAACTTGTTTTTAATTCAAATGAACCTCCTAAATAACTGATTGGATCTTCAGACAATATGTGGTGTGTCGTGGCTCTACAATTAAGAAACCTGCAAAGAAAAGAGGTTGCAATGTCTGTACTTCATTGATGGATCACATGCACATTTTGAGAAAAGAAAAGGTTAAGACTGACTCAATTATAGTCTAAAATAACTTGATAAAAGGTGGTTGTTGCAGGAAATGAATGTGTGGTCATTTTATATGTGATCATATGTTTTGTGTGTAACATCTTAATCTGTAAGAAGTAATTGCAGCTGTTAAATTTAGTAAAAAGGGTAGGAAGTAGCTGAACACTGAAAAACTTACATTAAGTACAAGTATCTCAAAAGTATTCTTAACTACACAGTACTTGCGTAAAAATACTTCATGTTCTTTTCACCACTGCAGAGTTTAAGCACATTGAGCTCCTTGGGCCTTCAGTTGTAACACATAGATCATTAAAATGCCCTGTAGAGGTCATATCTTATAACACTGGAAAACAACGACAAAAAAAACACCCAAGGACATAAAATGCTCACTAATTGCAACTACATATTTACATTGATAAATAAAACTCAGAAGAAAGACATATGAATCAAACTTTTTTTTTAATATTTGCTTAATACAGTTGCCCTTGTCTGGCACCTTATTTTTACAGTACATACAGATATACACAATTAAACACCTGGAAGGTGTCAAAAATGTGCATTCATTTTTAAATAGATCATCTTAAAAGTGCACAGTTCAAAATTAGTCTACTTTACAGAACCAGAGGAATTGTGTTGTTCAGTATGAAACATTGAAATTTTCTTCATCCTTGTGCAGCACTTTGACAGACTTTGGTTTAAGCTGCCAAAAAGGTTATTCCGCTTCATACTTGCCACTACTTATATAAAGTAAATAAATTATGATTTACACAGAAACTTCACAACAGTTGTTGATGGTACAAAGACTAAACCTGCGATGAGACGTCCACATCAGGTCCTCAGGTCCTGCAATGGTTGCAAGTAAGCATGAACTTTTCCAAGACTGTGATGATATGAATGTTTTAAAAAAAACATTTAATGTGAATGATATCTTATCACCCACACACTGGGTGCCCTTGTGATTCATCAAAGAGCTATATGCTCGAATCCTTGAAGGAATCAATAATCCCACAATCCTGCAATGTGGTTTGCAGATTTCCAGTTTCTAATTGACATTACAGTTTTTTGATCCAGCACTGCTTTCTAGATGAGGCAATACTTACTATGGCCTCTAACAAAAACAGTCAGTTTTTGTTTATTCCTGCAACACACAAAATAATTTTCTTCAACTGCCAGAAACTGTGCAAAAATTGCAAAACAGTCTGAGGTGGCACCCCACCCCCCTCCCTCCTGAGAGTCCTAACGTGCGACCCCCAATAGGGACGTGTCCGGCTGCTGCTTCTATTTCAGGGCCTGCTGATGTTGACAAAAAGTAGGCCTGCCATGGCCAGCAGCATTGCCACAGTCATCTCCATCATTTTCCACTGCCTCCACCTGCTTAGATTCTCCTTCTGTTTCTCCTGCATGCGCTGCTTCCTGGCTCTCATGTCCTGTTCCCTCTGCAGCTGCTCCCCGTAGTGGGCCTGATAGAAGGCATCAAAATCAAACATGGTCTTCCCTCCCGGTTGGGAGAACCGCCTGGCTCTGTGTTGATGCTGCTGCTGCGGGGAGGCTGAGGATCTGCTGGTGGTCTCCTTTGAGGGCGGTCTCCCTGCACTTTGAACGTCTGACTGGCTCAGAACACCCCGGTCGTACTTCCTCCTCAGGCTAATGTTGCCCAGCACTGTGTAGGCCTCGCTGATCTCAGAGAAGCGCTGGGTGGCCTCCTTGCTCCCTGGGTTCTTGTCTGGGTGGTAGATAAAGGACTGCTTGTAGTAGGCCGTCTTAATCTGGGACTGTGTGGCAACGGGAGACACTTTGAGGATATCGTAATAGGCCGTCCTGCTTCTGTACAGAACAGGAGTATCTTTTGAGTTGCTGTCACTCCTCCAGCTGTAGCTTCTTGTAGTTGTAGATGCTTGTAGGGTATCAGGGTGTAGTTTCAGACGCCTCAGTCCACCCCCTGGCTTCTCTGACCCCTGTTCTGCCAGAATGAAGATAACAGTGCAGAAGGCTCTGAGCTGCTGAGGGGACCTGAAGGTGTCAGGGCTGAGGGAAACAGCTCCTCTGCTCCAAGTTGTCCTCCTGCTAGGCAGCAGCTTCTCCTGGAGGAGAGGCTGCAGTCTTGCTGAGAGGTACAGGGCTGCTTTATGAGCTTGGAAACTCTGAACAAACCCAATAAAACGGGATGAATCCAGCTCCAAAGACGGAGCACAACACAAAGTTCCATTTTCCTGTTGACTTGCTGTCACTCTGGAAAGTTTCCCTGATTTGCGTCGTGTTGATCTGCTTTTGACTGACTGAACGTCACGCGTTGATTCCTGTTTTATCCGACTGTCACTGAAGGTGCATTTCACCAGCAGAGATCCGGAACTTTCTCCGGTGTTTCTGAGAGCGGACAGCCGGTAAACTCCGCTCCCTAGCCTCGGTCCGACCTCTGCCATTTTACTGACAACATAGCCGGAAAACCGCTGCTGTATCCGGTAACGTCACACGACGAGGAACCAATAAGAGTCAATGTTTACAGGAAATACTTCCAATCGTTTTTGTAGAAAACGGGGAGGTGAAGAGTTACATATTTCTTGGCTCACATGTTATAAGAACCTTTTAAGATGGGCTTTTCTAATAAAAATAAATGTATCTTTGCGGATTTAGGCCTATTTTAATTTGATGTCATCCAGGTCTTCTTGGGAAGATTAGCCTATATGAATGATTGGCCACCAAAAATGTAATTCTTGATTTTCAATACAGTGTAATATTTTCTTGTGTTGTGTGTTGGTTGATAAAAATGTGTTTATGTTAGACATTATGTGTTTATATAATACATTTGCAATTATATAATTAGGTGTCAAAGCATGCTACATCCTTGTGTCATTGTTTACAAACAAGATAGTCCAAATGTTTATCCATGTTGTCAATATAACAGTGTACTCTTTAAGTATTTTCTGATGTAAACTATAGCTAAGGTTTTGATGCATTTTTTCAATATGGCATATCAATTTCAACAGTACAAAGTTATACATTGCATGAGATTGGACAGGATTCACAGGTGTGCTTTTACTGTTTGTACTGTAAAAGAAAAAGACAAAACTGTTTTACAGCACTGCATAGCTCAATGGTAAAAATGACAAAATAAGACATGTAAGCATGGCACAACTTAAGCTGACATTCCTGTCTGTCACATCACAGACTCTCATCCACATCACAACATTTATCTTCATCAATTCAGATGCCATATACAAAAGAAGTCTGATAGACATGTTTAGAAAATTATTATTATGACGTATAACGTATTCAACCATTTTGCATGTAGTGACTTATGCAATGAACCTGTGCCTAAATGTTTTGGGGGTTAAGAATATTCTATACCAGTATACTACCAGTATACTACATTGTGATCAACATGACATAAGTGATGGAAACAGCAGACAATTGTACGTAAGCAAAAGAATTAGAAATTGCTTTTAGCTAAGAAACCTGTAATGTTTACCTAGACGCACAGTAGGTGGCGATATAAGCTTCTGTTTTTTTCTGGTGTGCTTTTATTAAACTTGACGAAGAAGTACGTCTACGTCGCTTGCGTGTGACGTCAGTATTCTTCACGTGTGGACGGTCTGCTACCACAACATTTAGCTTGTTTATGAACCGATTATACAAATTAACTCCTCATCCTGTGATACCGACATACACACAGAGACAGCCATGACCTCCAACTGCCGACGGCCTGAACACACAGCTCCTCCAGATGTGGTCAGTGACGCGGTTTATTTTAGTTTTTAGCTGCTAGGCTAACTGTAACGTTGGTCCGAGCTAGCTGTTTCATGTTTCAGCAGGAGCATTACCAGCGTTTTAACAGGGAATTGAATACATGCTGACTAGACGAGAAACTAACTACTCGGTTGTTTATTTGTAATACTTGAATTAGCTCTAGTGTGCTAGTTTATGTCTGACATGTTTTGAAATGGGATGTAATGATGATTCATGAGAGGCTCAAACTGAAGCTACAGTGGAGTCAGCTGACAGCCGATGTTGTGAATTGTTTTATTTATGTGTTAATCCGATGAGCTCTTATTCCCGCAGTTCTACAATGAAGTCGAGGCGAAGAAATACTCTCAGAAGTGAGTATGAGGGTTATTTGTGCATAACTTCCTTACTTGTCACTGTGGTCGCTATGTTTGAAGGGGATATCTGCCAACAAATAAGTTTTTTCCTATAATAATGAGCAGTTAGGTCTATTGTGAATTTAATTTTCTTTAAAAAGACACATTGTAGAGTCGGTAGTAAGTAAATACAAGAGCTGCTTCATAGACAGGTTACATTCTCCTACTAACACTTTAACTATTTTAGATTTTTCCTGTGATATTAGACATTAGTCATTCAGTCACTAATACAAATATATCATCAACTCCAATTTCCTACTTAAATATACAGATTTCTTTGGTTGTAGTGTATAAATTACTTTCACCTTTAAGTTGGCTCAATGTGGGATTTACCCTTTAGATGAAAAATGGGATGCAGCATTCCCAGTTGTGTTTCTGCAGACCTGCTCTAGAAAAATTGCTAGCTGAAGAAAGATTGCTTCGGTTGTCTGGTAGATGATGGCAGTTTGCCACATGTAAATGTTGAGTTTGTTTGTTTTACAGAATGTCTTTTCATTGCCAGAGGTCACATCTACAACTTTAACCAAAGTTTTTGTGTTTTGCTTCTTCACAGCTCTCGAATGATTGAGATCCAGACCCAGATGTCAGAGAGAGCTGTAGAGCTTTTAAACCTGCCAGAGGGACAGCCTTGCTTCCTGCTAGATGTTGGGTGAGTGAGTGAAACTGACTATGTTTACATGCAGTATTGCACTATTAAAACGGCACTTAAAGTAAAAATGAATAATATTCTTTTTCTGTCATCTTGTCATGGACAAAGTCATAGTTAGATTAAGTGTTGTCTTGTTGGTCCTTATTCTCTGGCCCGGTTTCCCTCGTGCAATAAACAAGAGGCACAAAATCAATAGGACGCTTTTAAATTTTCAATAATTTATTAAAGATACAAAAGTAAAAAATATACAATTAATATGGATTACATAAAGTTATAATTAAAGACAATTAATAAAATAAAATGAAAAATAGAAGTAGAGTTAAGACCAAATTTGGTAATGTCAATTTAATGGAGAGTTTTATCCTCCTTTTCAGAACCTAGATAATTCCTAAAGATTACTCAAGAATCCTCAAAGTCACTCAATTTAGCTGAAGTTATACTAAATTTAGTAAACATTTAACTTGAGATTATATTGATATTCAATGATATTTGAATTATTATTCCGAATTCCTAAAGAGAAATAACTGACCAACTTTGTCGGAGATGATTCCTCAAACCCTCTGGAAACGTCTGAGGAACACCTCCTTCCTTTCCCTAAGATAAACCCCTAAAAAAAAAAAAAAACTACAGCTACGTAGACAACATGGCGTACTTCTAAACTGCGTCAGTTGAGTTCACAAAAACAAGCTATTAACCTGATGTCCCTTGTGCAAATGATGTTTTTCGTAGGCAATGTTTTTCCCTACATAAGGCAATTTAAAACAATGAAAACTTTTTCTTTAACATAGTTATACTATAGGGTACATATACACTTCATAATAAAGGTGATTACATTAAGCATCCTTAAACCTCAAAGTCCCAAAGGTCAGATGTTTTTCCCGTGATGCGAGGGACTCAGGTGACTATCTGTCTCTCAGGTGCGGCTCTGGTCTCAGTGGAGACTACCTGTCAGAGGAGGGACACTACTGGATTGGAATCGACATCAGCACCGCAATGCTGGGTTAGTCTGAAACTTTAGCATGAGAAGCTAGAGCCTCATGATATGATTCTGATGTTGTGATATAATCTTAAATATCATGTGGGATTTTGGTTATCTTAATAATGTGAAGAGGTTTAAATGTTATCTTTCAAGTTAAATTATAACTTTCTGAAATGGTTAGACTGAAGAATACTAGGCTGAAGGAAATGAACACTTATCTATCTATCTATCTGTTCTGTTGTAGTGATATCACAAAGGATTTCTCTAAATCTTTCATGTCAACACTGCGTGAAAACATTTATTGTCTTTGTTAAAATATTGCTAGAACTAGAATATATTCCCAAAATGTTCCAGCTGTTCCAGACACATGTTATTGAGCATTAAAAAAAGGCTCCAGGCACTCACTTGGCTTTGCATTTTAATTTCCATGATATCTCAGATGCAAAATGGAGCGCTTAGGTGCTCATTTGCGCGCACTGCCATCAGACTGTACAACAGCAGTGGAGACCACAGGCTGTCACAATCACTCTGACCAGCCATCTTTAGTTCACTTCCTTTTGTATAGTTTCTGTTCTTATTTCTATTATTTTATTATTTGTACTTCTAATTATTTATTGTTTACTTTCTCTATGGATCTTATTTTTGTCCTTGTGCTGCTGCAACACTTGAATCTCCCCTCTGGAGATCAATTTTATCTAACTTTGAGAACACACAGTGAGGTGTAAACCAATGTCAGCTTAAATGCAAGTCCATCAAGACATTTTTGGTTTTCCTGCCTTCATCAAGGTGGTATTTGTTTTGTGGCGGTTGTTTCAATGTTCCTTATATGAAATTTAATGATTAGTAATGTGACTTAGAGAGACCAAGTTTAATAAATGTTATGTAAATCTTTTTATGCACTTTTTTACAAAAAGTTTTACATTTTAACTTAACAGTTGATCAAGTATAAATGCCTTACTTGTGACAGATGTTGCACTGGACAGAGAAGTAGAGGGAGACCTTTTAGTGGGGGACATGGGCCAGGGGATGCCTTTTCGTCCCGGCACCTTTGACGGTTGCATCAGGTGAAGAACACAGCATGCTTATGTTAAAGAAGCAAGAATTTTCCCTGGATTAATTTTGAATAATCTCTGACTTTATCTTTTGCTTTTGCCCTATCAGTATCTCTGCCCTGCAGTGGCTCTGCAATGCAGACAAGCGGACACATAGTCCTCCAAAGAGACTCTACACCTTCTTTAGTACGCTGTACTCCTCTCTGGTAACACTCTTGTTCACTTCTTCAACAAAAATTCATCATCATATTTTATGGTGACGACCTTTACTAACTTCTCCTTGCTCTTTGTCTTCCAGTCAAGAGGCGCACGTGCAGTTTTTCAGCTTTATCCAGAGAACTCGGAACAGGTGAAACAACGTTTTGGACAGTGGATGTAAAATCGGAAGTTTTCTCCAGATTCCCTTACTCACCTTCAGTCTTCTTCTCTCTCTAAAGCTTGAGCTGATCACGACGCAGGCCATGAAGGCAGGCTTCAGTGGAGGCATGGTGGTGGATTACCCCAACAGCAGCAAGGCAAAAAAGTCAGTATCTTTCAGAGGCTGCACTGTTATTTTGATGTGTTCAACTGCAGTGTTGGGAGTAACGTGTTACAAAAGCAAAGCAGAATGATAAAAAATCGGTAATATTGTACCCGTTACAATCTCAGTAACGCATGTTACAACGCATTTTAACCCAAAATTAAGTGGTGTTTGGTTTTTTAGTAATTCACCAACACCGAAAAACATTTCGGCACCAGAAAACTAATCCATCAGTAAAATAGTAATATTATTTCCTGTTGCGGGAATCCGATGGTTGAGATTGTAGGCAGTGTGCAAACTATGGGGGAGCTTGGCTCTTCTTAACAAGATGGTAGCTCCTGTGATGGATCATGCGTAAATAGATTTCTATAGGCTGTGTTTGTGCTTTAACCATAGACTGTGTAAAACCATAAATTGCTTTCATGATTAGAGAGACTGCCGTCTGTTCATCGTGATCGATCATGTCGGAGTGTCGATCCTGACGAGGATTCAAATAATAAATGACGTAATGGTGCTGTACTTAATGCGTAAATGCTTAAATGTTTATGACAAAGACCCACCTGATCCGCGGATATAACTCTGGGCATCACTAGAACCCACCTATGCAGCACATCTTGCTAATCAGAATAATGTGCCAATTAAATAGCAGTGACAGTAACTCCAAAGTAATGTAAAGCATTACAGTTCAGAGACAGTAATATTGTAATATAATTAATTACTCTCAAATGAACGCAACTAGTAATCTATAATGTTCCAATACATTTTGGAAGTAACTTGCCCAACTGCACTGTTCAGCTGCAGCCATTTGCAATTGATTCCTTCCTAATAGCCTGTGAAATTAGTAGCTGTGTACTTGCAACACAAGGCTAATTAGAACAGTGTTGCATTCATATTGACTGTTGTTGTCACATTAGCCTCGTGATGAATTATCTCACATTAAAGCGGTTTGCCTGAATAAACCCTTTCACGCACACATACATCTTGTTTGTTTCCAGGTTCTTCCTATGTCTGTTTGCTGGAGCAACAGGAGTCCTCCCCAAAGTAAGAAACAAAGGAATTGCCATTGGTGGATATTGTAGATGTATGCATTTCATTATGACCGCTGTCGTCTTTTTGTTAATTTCAGGGATTGGGATCAGAAACTTCAGATAGAGCGGTTCCAAACCAGGTCCAGTTTTCAGGACAAAGGTAAAGATATTCACGGCAGGGTGACTCTCAGATTATTGTGATAGTTTGTTGAATCTGTTTACATGGTTGGAAGTAGCAGAGTTTGTTTCAGTCACAGTTTATCTGGATTATTTGTTTGTTGCTGTTTGTTATTCAGAAAGATGTGATGAGATGCAGCCTGAGGCCATTTGAGAATCAGATGAAAATTGTTCAAATATTTTTGTTTCTTAATGTGCTTACTGCTGAAAATGCGCACAAAGCAGATACCCCAAATATATTGCATTTTAACACACGTACATGTTACTGTGAATTATTTGAAAATTTTGGTTAATTATTTCATTTATAATGATTTGCTGGTTTCACCTTCTTAAATGTGAGAATTTGCTGCTTTTCAATAACATTTCTGAACATATGGGTTTTGGACTGTTGGGTGGACAACATTAGTAATTTGAATATTGTGAAATTGGGATCACCATTTTTCCCTATTATTATTATTATTATTATTATTATTATTATTATGAACTTTTTATAGACAAAATGATTAACCGAAAATGAAAATAATCGTTGTTGTTGCCCTACTTTATTCTGATTAGTATAATCTCTATTTCGTCATTGATTTGTATTACACCAGCCATTTCCTTTCCTTTAGCATAGGAAGCAGGTCTTGGCCATGATACGTGCAGGTTCAGTCATACCTGCTTTGATGAAGCCAAAAGACCGAGAGAAATCTAAAAAGGGCCGTCGTCCTGCCTGACTTAAAACTCTGTCCGGCAGCTTTTCCTTCCTTTTACATAGGGATGTTGAAGTTTCTCCTCATAGTTCCACAAAGAGACTGAACATGTGACACATTTTGCATCAGAGGCAGAGTTTTGGATGCGGTTTGTGATGAGGTGCATTTTAAACAGACTGATCTGCCAAATTTTGTCTTTGTGAAGATGCCGGTTCAAAAACATGAAGGGGAAATCAGTGAAGAAGGGACGAGACTGGATCTTTGAGAAGAAGGAGAGGAGGAGAAGACAGGGACGGTATGTGTGTGAACGTATTTTAATCTCTTTCAGAACAATTGATTTATCTATCTTTGATGTTCTAAATAATGTGATGTACTTAGGTTTAACTAAATGACCTCTAATTAGCTGTATTCTATAACACTGGCTTCTCTCTCCCCTGTGTGTTTGTTGGCCTGCAGGGAGGTTCGAGCCGATACAAAATACACCGGACGTCAGAGGAGACCTCATTTCTAGCTCTTACTCATGCAGCTGTGCTTTCATTAGCTTTCGTATGTACCACCTCGCTCATAAGCATCACTGGAACTGGAGAGTGTTGGGACTTAATTTTTCAACTCTTGAATTGAGATGTAAGAGAAAAACGCTATTACAGCCAATCCTTTTTATAATCAGTTGAGGGTTTGTCAGTTTGTTTCTCACAAATGGTGGTAAGATTTCACTCTCCATGTTCATGTTGGCTGGAAGACACCAAGTACATGGACAGACGTGTACTTCTCACATGTCTGTAAGTACGTACTACTTGGTAACACAATGTGCACAGTTGACAAAACCATCAATGTCATAGAAATAAAACATTTTTTTTAACATGCTGTATTTTCTCAATTACAAGTGCACAAAGAAAGAAGAGTATTATATTAACTGTTTTTGTATTTTCCAGAAAATAGAAGAAAAGCAGACTCCATGTACTAGTGAAAACCACGCTGCAAAATAGAAATGCACAATGATACATATTCACATTTGTGTGATGGTCCTGGACAAACTGGCTGTCCATTAAGTTAATGAACATTACAAAAAGGGGAGAGTGAGTATGAAGAAAAGGGCGCTGTCATAAGGGGAACATTAAACTAAATGGACTTAATATTATATTATTCAACTTTATCCTTTTGGGAAATTAATTTTTGTATGTTTTGATTGTTTGATGTTTGTCTTATCAGTAGAATAGTACTCAACAGACCTGCTGTATAACCTAATAAAGACATGCAGACTACTGATAAGGTAATTCAAATGGATGTTTAGTCTCTATTTGCACAGGCTAAAAACACTACATGAATGGATAAAAAGATTGCTGGTCGGATTAAAAGCCCCTAATGGATGAAGGCATCCCCAGGATGAATGAATGAAGGCATCTAAAACATAATTATTTACTATTCTGCAGAGTTGTGAACTGAAATGTAAGACATATGTGTAAGACACACGTTATTTTTTAAATCCTAAACTCCAAAATACTCGCGAGCTCTTCTGCTGCTTCCATACAGTCTGCACCGCGTGTGACCGACAGAGGTCGCTGTGCGCCTTGGCACAATGGAAACCACCTGGGCGTCATCTCTGAACCTGTTCAATCGATAACCAAATCCAACACAATCTCGCCGCTCAGCCAGACGCTCTGAGGTGATCATTTCTTATCAAAGCAGCCTTCAACCTGTTAGACTGACTTTAACGGAGCAAAACGAAACTTGGAGAGGTGGTTTAGCCTATTTAAAACCACAAAAAGGTCAATTACTGCGGATTGAAGAGGAAGTTGAGGGTATGTAATGGGTTAACGTCGGAAGGCCTCGCATTACCTTTACTGCGCGTCACCCGGCTCCGTAAAGTGGTCTCACCATCCCAGCATCCAAACCAAAGGGGGAAATCGCGGCCAGAAGCGCATCCTCGCCTCGGTCGGTCTCACATCATCCTGTCGGTCTCCGCCCTGCAGCTCCGTCATCTCACATCCACAAGAAAGAGGGAACTGAAAGGAATAAGTGATTTACCGGAACCATGAAGGACCGCATGCAAGAACTTAAACATGTAAGTTACTGTTTGATTCTTTGGCCAGGATCCACCTGTTCTGTGAAGAGATGCCTTTTGAACATGGCTACATGATCCATCCAGCCTAGTCATGTATTTAGAAAGCACAGATCTACAGAGCTGGGTGCGCTGATGGAGCAACAGTTGTGACTCTTGGAGGGAGGGGGGGCCTGATGGAGGCTGAAATGTTCTGTTTTAATACCGGAAACAGGCGCAAATTGCTACCAAGCTTGACTGTGTATAGGCAGAATGAAAATCCAGCCACAGATGAATGATTTGAGCTTTAATCAACATAAAAGTAATTTTCTTCTCATTCTTCAAAGAAAAAAATTACTTTGATCTTCCTGCCTGTATTCTTTAAGCAATTTCTGGGCTATTAGAGGATGTCTCTGGGACTTGATACACTAGACACTTTGTAGTTAGACCTAATGGTATTTCATCTCGATAAGGTCATTCATTTAATATTCAGTGTAACATTTTAGCATTTTTGTAATCTTTCAGAATTTAACTGTTGTCCAGAAAGCGTGAGATTGCAAATTATGTAGCTTATGTGGAAATATGTGAATAAATTAGTGTGTGTGTGTGGTTTGATCGATTAGGCCAACTATGGGCGTGTGATTGGGGAAAAAAAAAAAAAAAAAAGATCCCAGCTTGCCCTGTTGAAGGTCGGACCCCTGCTCGTCAAAGGACATCTAAAAAATTTTAAAAAAATCTAAAAGAAAAAAAATATATTTTTTACTTTTCCATAGCTCTGCTACATTCTCTAATCATAAAAATAAAGCCTTAACATCTTTAGATCCAGTAATTGGCAGTTGAACTGAGGAGAGAGGGGAAACAATTTAAGACTCCTCAGTTTTTAGTGAAGATCCAGCTATGAATTGGCCTCAAGGGAGACAACCCAGCCCAGCCAAGTGTGTGTGTGTGTGTGTGTGTGTGTGTGTGTGTGTGTGTGTGTGTGTGTGTGTGCGCACATGTGTGTGTGTCTGTGTGTTTGAAAGAGGTGTGTCTCCAGCCTGCCATGTTGCTTTCTCCCAGTGCTGGAAGGATGCAGTTGTACAATTGAGAGAGACAGAGAAATTGCCTAAATCTCCCTCACCATCTTCAGTAAGAAACTTCAACCAGCATTGAGTCATTCAGGTTTGACAGAAATTACCTGTCAGCAGACTATTTTCTTTCATTAGTTTTGATCATATCTTTCATGTCTGAGAAATGGCTGCTGGAGGGGCTCCAGCCTGACCAATTTCAGGCAATTTCTGACCAAATAATATTCAAGCAAATTGCAAATCACAGACTGTTATTTCCCATCAGCGCTAGATTAATATTGTTATCTATTTACAGCCTCATGTTAATGCAGATTTGTGAATCTGATGTAGATGTCTCAGTGGGTCGGGACAGCACATTTGTGATTGGATAAAAGCTCTGAACTTGTGAGCAGTGGACTGCGGGTGCAACTAATTATTTTCAATATTGAGTAATGTTTCTTTTTTTTTTTTACTAAATTGTATTACAAAATAGTGAAAAATGTGTCTAACAAGTGCATTACTCAACATCTCAAACATGTTGTTTTGTCTGACCAATAGTACAAATCTGAAGATATTTAATTTACAGTGATACAAAACAAAGAACGTAGCAAATGTTCACGCTCTCACAATTCTGTTATTTAATTCAATAACTGTTTTAGCTCTAAAGGGGCCAAAATATTTTGAGCTCCAGCTTCAGTTTGGAAAAATGCTGTAACTTGTGTCAAGGACACTGCTGAGATTTAGTGGTGTGAGCTCAATGGCTTAGTACTGACACTTTAGTTCAGTTTTTGACATTGAGTTTGACATTAAAGGTGTACTCAGTGATTTGATTATAGCATCCATCACCTGAAACTAGGTCACACCACACTTTTTACTTTTTTTACTTTGAAATTTTGTCATTAAATCAAAAATATTTGCACAGACATTGAGTTGCAGACTTGTGCAACTGTCTCCATTTTATAGTTTTAATAATTTTGAATAAGATTTGGGGATTTTGGAGAGTCCCCTCAAGTATCTTCCCCTTATTGTGACGCAGAACTTTGTTGGCCTGATAGGATCTCCCAAGGCAAACTGCTCTCTTATGAGGGACCAAACTAAAAGCAGCACAAAGACCTCAGTGAATTGCCACTGAGCAAGAGCCATCTTTGTGTAATTTATAATGACACTGACAAAACAAATAATGATATCTTGCCAATATCTGTGCTGATCAGCATATCTCTATTTAGGGAGGACTTGTTCTCAATTAAATGTTGTCATTAGTTTGTTGCTCTTCTATTGTGAAAGTATTTGTTTTGTGCTACATTTGCCAATTGCTTAAATGGGAGAATAATTAGCTTCAAATAACAAATTACATAGATATTACAAAATCATTATTTTAACGTGCAAACAGAGCTGGGGAGCAGCAAAAGAAGAAAACTGAGCTTCACAGAATTTGTTGCTCCCGTGTCTTCATGTGTATTTTTGTAGAGTCACCCTGCTAGTTTACTCACCCATGTACTTGTGTGTCATTCTGGCAGGAAATTGAGTTTTGCTCATATTTGTGTGAGGTTCAGCTCCAACATTGCCCATATGCACATAAAGCTACTTTATGAGCTCAACACCTGCCTACAACACCGCTCTTCCAAGTAGCTCATTAGCTTGCTGCCTAAAAACGGGCAGTTTCAATAACTAAAATGGTCATACAGACTCTCCCCTCACCTCGTCCCATCACCCCCAGTTGGCAAAGCAGTGATTTAATGACAGATGGCACAGATAGGTTGAGTTTGTCAGCCTCCCACAAGCTCTGAAACCAAAGGGAAAACACACTGATGAGGTTATTACAGATTTCACACACACCACGGTGTCACAAACAGGCTCAGGGAATGTGACAAGGAGGTACGCAAGATATTTACTTAAAACAAGTATAATTTTTTAAAACTAAAGTTAACCTGAATGAACAATGAGGTGTGGAAGTGAGGTATATCAATGACACAAGCAAGGCATGGATGTGTGCTGAGGTGCAAAAGAAGAAGGTGACGCAAAGTGGATGTAAGTTGTAGGAAAGGAGAGACATGATTAGCCAGCTTTTCTAGCCTAAGGGCCCATGCTGACGACCCTCATGTGTCAGCCAGTTGCCCGCTGAGGGTGACCTGGACAGCCTCCAAGACAGTGGAGGGCGGGGGCATCACAATAGGAACTTTTATCAATCAAACGTGATTGCTTATCTTCCTGGTGTTTAATCAGCCATGTCTTTTTTTCTGTCTCTGTGTTTGATTGACCATATCTGCCCCTTTTCCTGTCTCTATCTCTTTTTAATAATAACCTGCTCTTTCCTTTCATCCTCTCAGTGATGGGGAGTTCCTCCATTATGTCTCTTTGCTCTTTCCCTATCAGTGATTTATCAAATGGCTTCCTGTACTCCTGTCCGTTTTTCCTTTCCTTTCTCCCTTCTGTTTTCTCTGTGCAGCCTTGTTAGTCAGTGTTAGTATTGGTTCAGGCAGCTATTTGTGAGTGTGTATGACGGGGGTACTCACTGTCACTGCCTCTTTGGCGTTAGAGTGACACATTAACTAATAGGATGAATGTGGAGCACCCACTGAGAGGCTTGTGTGTGTCTTTGACTTTTCTTTTTGTTTCCTTTCATTATCGCTTCTCTTTTTTTCTTTGCTCACATCCATCGCCCCTTTATCACACTTTATTCCATGTCACCTCATCTCTTTTTATTCTGTCCTTGATGTGATCTTGGCTGTATACACTTCAATGACACAAACAGCAGTGGGGGGGGGGGGGGGCGGGGGGGCACATTGGTTGCTGTTGAACTGAACACTGATCCTATGGGTCAGAGGTTTTATTTGTCCTCGCTCTAAGCTTTGAGCCTTTGTAAACGCTTGGCTTACTGGCAGTGAAACCAGCAGCTTTCTGGTTGAACTCCACAGATGAGCCTTTATCCTTAAAATCAGCGGTGGGGTGTATGGAAGTAGCGGCAAAATGCATTGTTATCAACTTATATTGTCACTGTAACAATGAGAAAGGCATACTCACTCACAAACATTATTCATCAACACATAAAGGCTGTAAAATTGCATTAATGAGCCATGAAATGAGTGTGACCGATCAGGCATTTCCCCAGGGACTTGTCTGTCTTTGCAAATGAGGTGACAGATGCAGTGATATCCAATATCTGTCGGCTGCTAATAGGTATTTCTGAAATGTGTGCATTTCCATTGAACCGTTGTGCAGTACACCATCCTTATCCATATCAGTAAAGCATGAAATAAGGGTTCGTATTTATGATAGTTTCTTGAGATGTCTTTCTTTGAAATCAATGTGATGCCAGTGTCTGCTGATGGGTTTTGTAATGTCGACTGTGCAGTAAAATCTTGTTGTTTGTTCTTGTGCTTCTCATGAAGCTTCCGAGGCATCAGCAAATGGAGATCTTAATAATAAGTAAATTCTGTAATCAAACCTTCCACATCTGCTGTGGGAGAATTAGCTTCGGGTTTTCTTTGTTACTGCTTCTAAAATTTAATTTGTAATGTGCCGCCCTCCCCTTTCACATCTTATAATTGATGGCAGCAGAGTGGTTCTTTAGTAGCATAGATAACGCCTAGTATCACATACTTTTTGGAGATAAAGGCTGTGAACTGTCATTGACCTCATTATGCCCTAAGTAGTCTATCTTTTTTGGGTGATGATCTTTTATTATAACAATATGCTTAATTTCGCCAGTGCTAGACAGGTCTGCCAAAGTAAAAAACAAAATATATTTTTTGCCACCAATCATCATCATCATCCCATATAAGCATTTTCTGATTTGACTGCCCAATCTTTTACCTCTGTTTTTGGTCTCCAGAGGGACTTATATGGCTTTTTACCAGATGGTCTGTCTGCTGTTTGGTGCTGGAAAGTTAGTGTATGATGGTTTTCTTGGGGCTTTTTCCCTGATAATAGCTGTCTGATGAGACTGAAAATGACACCATGCAGCAAGAGTGAACCAAA